CATTCAAGTAATTTCACACTCTGTGTTCTCAGGGTGACTCTGGTGGCCCCGTCGTTTGCAACGGAGAGCTGCAGGGTGTTGTGTCCTGGGGCTATGGATGTGCTCAGAAGAACAACCCTGGTGTCTACACAAAGGTAACTTTTAAAAAACATTATTTAATCAACACGCTGTGTCCAGTTTGTTCTGTTGGACTGAGCTGCAATGCTATGCTGATTCACAGTTCTAACTCAGGTCTATTTCCATTTTTAGGTCTGCATCTTCAGTGACTGGCTGGAGAGCACCATGGCCAGCTATTAAGTGATCCAAACAACAAGTCCAGTCAAGCAGCTTAACAACAATTGCTTTTTGTGTTCCATCTTTTGTACTGGACAATGTGACAAATAAACCATTTAAAGCACATAATTTGGGTCTACTTTATGTGAACCTATTTCAAAGAACAGATTCTAGTGTGTCTAGTGTGTAGTTCAAGAAAGGTGACTCTTTTTTAAAATATTTTATTTAATCTTTATTTAAGACTTTGGTTGAAATAACATGTTTAACAAGGCTTTGCAATAGTGGCTGCTAAAGCTATAAATGTACATCGAATAAACTTTATATAACATTATTAATAGCATTATTTGTTGCTTATAGTGTTCCTTACATTGTTTATTAATAATATTAGTTTACCCAACAATAATAAGTTTATATTCAAACTAAATTCATCAAGTATTTTTCTTTTTGTTAATATATATCAAAATAATTCATTTACAGGTAAAGAAAAGAGTAGAGCATATCAAATGGGTGTCACACCCACTGTCTACTATTGGCTGACTATGACATAATGTTGATTGATGTCGCCTCAGATTTAACTCATGCCCCAATCTAAAACGTTAAATTACGTTGAACATTGAATTAAATCATAAATATCATAAATTGAATCAGACATTGACAATTTATTTAGATCATGCTGATAAATTTAGAATCAGAAGTATTGTTGGGTTTCTTTTTGCATGTTGGTGGCAAATGCTACGCCCATTGCTGCAACATGTTTCCAAAGCAACCCCTCCTCCTAAAAAAATGTTTATACACTACTAAATGGTTTGCCTAAGTAAATAATATTGCTCTTCTGGGGTCTTGTGTAAAAAACATCCCCTATTTTGTTGAAAACCCTTCCACATTAGGATTTTAACTCAACTTGTTTTAGCAATCTTTGACAGTATTTGAGTGGCTTTATAATGCAGGTCAATAGACCTGGATAGACGGCAGGTACTTCAGCGTTATACAGTACTAGAAGTCAGAGAGCTCGTCAACTAGAGAAGGGATGCCTGCTGTGGTGGATGCCGTTTAATAATCCAAATTTATTTCCCAGCATTTGAATTATGAATAACTTAATTATAAATGGATATGCAAAATGAGTTTTAAAAGGGGCTTTAAATTTTACATGTAGTGATTCATTTACTAATCTGTTTTCCTGTCATATTCCATTTCATCATCTTATCTCTTGTGTCTTTCGTCACTCGTGAAGAGGAATAATCTGAAGAGTAAACATAATTGCAGTTTTTGAGCATCATAATGTGTGACAATAGTTATGGGTGATGAAATTGAGTTTTTTCCTACTGACTGACGCCTTAAGTGACTTGAAGAGCTTATGTTCTTTTCCCCCATTCTCATGAAGTACAGTAGAGCACCAAAAAACTCCCCTTAGCAAACTATGAAAAAAATGTCACGTTCGTTTCATTTCAGACTGGATATTGCTCTTAAAAGAGTCCGGAATTGGTCCTTGGTTTTAATGTTCTGCTTGGACTGAACCATGATAATGACAGAGGATGCACGGTTGAGCCGAAACTATGCCAGCATCCCAAAGTTAAGAGTTAAGATCTTCCAGGCACACTTTTGTTCATATCCAAAAGCAACATTGAATTTTTAAGAAATCTGACTTAGACCTTTAAATCATGTTAATCATTTTAGACTTTGTCAGAATAAAGGAAGATCTTGTCAAAAAAATCTAATGACATGATGGAAAAAAAGAGTGAATCTGTCCTGTAACATGACTTTTGAGCCACAAAACCTACGACAAAGATTACAAGGGAGACATGGGCAAACACATAACCGTGGTCATACACTGGACTTGGTTTTTACCCTGGGTGTCAGCATTTCCTCTGTGGAATTAGTGGAAATGACCATATCTGACCACAGATGTATTGTTTTTAGCTGCGATTCGTCTGTTACTCATGCCGCCTCACCAAGCTCCGTGTGTTCTCGCATCTTTAATGAACAAAGTGTTTCAAAGTTTTGCGCAGTCTTTCAGAGCCAAAGCCAACACCTGTCTGATTCCAACACCAACAATCTGGTTGATCACTTCAATCATATCTGCTTGTCGTCACTAAATATTACTGCTCCTCTAAAGGTTAGGCCTACGTCTAAAGCTAGTAAACAACCCTGGATAAATGACAGCATTCGCAGCCTCAAAAGGGAATGCAGGAAAGCAGAGCGCAGATGGAAAAAATCCAATCTCCAAGTCCATTACCTCAGTCTGAAGGATTTATTAATTAACTACAATAACTTGGTTAAGGATGCGAGAACACACTATTTCTCTGAACTCATTACTACACATAAACACAATCCCAGGTTTCTGTTTAAGACTGTGGATCAGCTGGTAAACCCAACCCCTCCTTGTGCCTCAGCTGGAAGTAATGATGACTGTGAATTGTTTTTATCTTATTTTACCAATAAGGTGGTGTCAATCAGAGCCTCTATTACCCCCGTGGCCTCTTACTCAGAGGTCCCTCACCAGCAACAACAGAGTTTTAACCAGTTTTATCCCATCGACTTGTCTGAGCTTTTAAAAACAATATCACAAATGAAGTGTCCTCCAGCCCACTTGATATAATACCTACAAAATTTTTACTGAAAGTAATAGATTCTGTTGGCCCCCATTTGATCTCTGTTTTCAACAGCTCCCTATCTACTGGTTGTGTCCTGATTATTTTAAAACGGCTTGCGTGAACCCACTTTTAAAGAAACCTGGTTTAGATCCCTCCCTCCCACAAAATTTTAGACCAATTTCAAAACTGCCTTTTATTGCAAAGATTCTAGAAAGAATTGTGTCCAAACAGCTGCTCACTGTGCTGGAAAATAACAAAATATTTGAAAAGTTTCAGTCTGGTTTTAGGAAGTACCACAGCACTGAGACTGCCCTGCTTAAAGTCACCAATGACCTTTTAATGTCTGCTGATGAAGGTATGTGCTCAGTCCTTGTACTCCTGGACCTTAGCGCTGCTTTTGACACCATTGATCACAACATCATGTTAGACAGACTGAGGCACTGGGTGGGGATCTCTGGTACTGCCTAGAATGGTTTTCATCCTACCTGTCAAATAGGAAGTTTTGTGTGTCTGTAAACAACTATGTCTCTTCATTCTGTCCAGTTAAATATGGTGTGCCTCAGGGGTCGGTCTTAGGACCCATTTTGTTTTCCTTGTATCTGCTTCCCCTTGGACATATTATCCATAAACATGGCATTTCTTTTCATATTTATGCTGATGACACACAAATATACTTGCCCGTCAGATCCACAGACCCTGGAATGCTGAGTTCACTTAACAACTGCCTTTGTGAAGTTAAAAAATGGATGTCAAATAATTTCCTCCAGCTGAACTCAGACAAAACAGAAATCCTGGTCATCGGGTCCCAGCAGATGGCAAATCAAATACTGCCATCTGCTGGTTCCCTAGTAAATCACATTAAGCCTGTGGCAAAGAACCTTGGTGTTTGGTTTGATAGTAATTTAAATTTCGAGCAGCACACCACAAAGCTTGTTCAATCATGTTTTTATCAACTTAGAAATATAGCTAAAATTCGATCTATGTTAACTTTTAAGGACACCGAGACCATTTTACACGCCTTCATCTCATCACGCCTGGATTATTGCAACAGCCTTTTCACCTGTTTAACCCAAAAATCTATTGATCGACTCCAGACTGTCCAGAACTCAGCTGCCAGGCTTTTAACCAGAACAAAGAAATATGACCACATTACTCCTATTTTAGCTTCATTACACTGGCTCCCAGTATGTTTTAGAATTGACTTTAAAATTCTATTGATCACTTTTAAAGCTCTTCATGGCCTCTCGCCTTGTTATATTTCTGACCTTTTAGTCCCATACGCACCAGCACGTACCTTGAGATCCTCGGGCAGAGGTCTGCTGTCTGTTCCAGAGTCTCGACTGAAAACTAAAGGGGACAGAGCGTTTGCTGTCAGGGCCCCGAGGCTCTGGAACAGCCTGCCCGAGGAAATCAGGTCGGCTGAGTCAGTGAACTCTTTTAAGTCCCTTCTTAAAACATACTTTTATAGGAGAGCTTTTCCCGATCTTATTTGACTTTATTTTATCCCTTTTATTTTATTGTATTTTACTAATTTTATATTAAATTTTCATGCTCTTATCTTTTTTTTGTATTATTCTTTACGCTTGTTAAAGCACTTTGTAACTTGTTTTTGAAAAGTGCTCTACAAATAAGGATTATTATTATTATTCTGACGGAAAATAAAATTGTTCTTTTCTTTGAATATAACTGCTACTAGATTTTTGTAAAAGAAAGGACTCACACCAACCTCTCAGTTCTTATTAAATCATTGGATTAGTTGGAAACGGAAGTTGAACTCCTTTTCAGATTCTTGTCGTATACTGACATTGATCAATGGGCCGTTGAAACATATATGCCCTTCCTTTCCAGGTGCATAAAGCATTCTGCACTCAGGAGACAGAAAATCACAATGGGGCCAGTGTTCATGTACTACAAATGAAAAGACTGACAAAACCTTATTAACACTATTCACACACACACACACACACACACACACGTTGGATTTTCTCACAAGCTGATGCAAACTTGTGAATGTTTACAGTGCACTGACTGTAATTGTTTGAAATAGAGTATTCAGAAATGTCTTACTGTAACATAGTGGTGGAGAGCAGATTCAGGACTACAGTATTGCCAACAATAATAAACACACTGATGTATCACGGAATGATAAATTTTATTGATTGTTTCCCGGACTAAACACATTTCATATCTCTTTTTCTCTCTCTCTCAGCCAGTCTCCTGCTGCTTTTCTTTCTGACACTACCCACCACCACCTCCTGTTTCTGTCTCCTTTAATTTCAATCTTTCTCCGGTTTCCCCACTCTCACATAGTTCTGTGATGGGAGATCCCTGCCTAGCTGTATCTGGAGAGAATGTCGTTGATCCAGGGCATCAGAGAACATACTTTGGTGTAAACGCCCGGGTAGTTAGGCTGAGCGCAGCCCTGGCCCCAAGAGACAATACCCTGCAGCTGCCCATTACACACCAGAGGACCACCAGAGTCACCCTGAGCAGGGAAGATAAAGAGAAAGCGTTAATTCCTTAAATCACCTCATCCCATTAAATGTTTTATTTACATGTTCATAGAGCACCAAGCCTTATTCTATGTGCTGTAAAATTCTGTGGAAATACCTGACAAGAATCCTTGCCTCCCTCCAGGTATCCAGCGCACACCATGCGATCAGTAATCATGCCAGGGTAGGAACCTTGACAGTCCTTGTTAGACAGAATGGGGACTTCCACACACTGAAGGTAAAAAGGATTGAACACTGCAGATAACATAAAGAAAGAAAGAAACAAAGAAGGAAACAAAGAAAGAAAGATAAAAAAACCATCACCATAGTGTATCAGACCTCAGTGGCTCTCCAAAATGTCCATCTTTATGGAGCTAAGAAACAACAGCTATTTGCCATAACTGACAGTTTGCTAAAACCCCACTCTCGAATAGTGATTGACAAGCCTGGCAAGCTTTGTATTTTTCCGCATGTTGTGCATGGGACTGTTAAGAATTTGGAGGGTGGAGTCTTTTGTTATCACCTTTCCAAAACCAAAAACACAAGAGCAAAGATATAAGGAAGGAGTTAAATGGTGATAATAGTGTTACGTTTGCTAAACTCATCATACTCGCTTTCCCCCTGTGTTAGTAAAGCATGCTGTTTTCAGGGTTATGTTAGAACAAATGACATTATCATTATATATTTATTTCTAAGCCTTTTTAAGCATTATATCAAATATATAGCCATCAAAGGAATTTAAAAAATCATTTTACTGGCTTCACTTTTTAAAAAGAACGAGCTGACAACATTTAAGTCGTCTGGAGACTGTTTGCTTTGATGCTACATTAGCTTAGCTAGAGCTGATAAAATCTGCTAGCAAGCATCATTTTAGCAGATCCACTGTTGTCAGCTTGAAATGAGATACCTGGTTGTCTATCATGTGTATGTAAGACCCTTTATTTTATTTTTTTTAAATTACTAAAAAAGGTCAAGTGGTGAATCTGTCACTGCTATCATTGTAAAGTGGACAGTGGAAAGTGGCAAGTAGACAGTAATTAAGGGTGATGGGGCTTAGCAAAGCTTTACCTGGCAAGGATGAAAATATCCTATTTTTTCTTTATTGCATCTCCATTTAGTCTGTAATGGTAAAATAAATATGTTAATTTACCAGGGAATTATATTCCTTAGCTTCTGACCTTTCAAAGGAGACCAGAAGTATGACTCTAGGCCAAATGGTTGAGAAGTTATTCCTGATTCATTTTGGGTATGTTATTTTAGGCGTTTGTTATGGGGCAAATAGCTGTCAGTTTCCAGCGGGTTAATATCAAGATCAGGTGCACCTCACCTTGATCAGTATAGATGTTCCCCCATCCTGACACTGTGCACATGTCCCCAGGTGTGGGGCAGGCTTTGGGCAAGGCGATAGGCTTGACATACTGATTCACGGTGACAGGGTGTGCAAGTTTCATCAGCATGATATCGTAGTCTAGGGTCTGGTAATCATAACTCTGATGCCAGTAGATGGCATCCACTGACATGTACTGCTCTGTGCCCTCGTTCATCCAGATGTGGTTGTCACCCAAGACAGCAATCTGTGAAAATGGGCTGAAATAGAGACAAAGAACAAAATTCATAAACTTCATTCAAAATTTATAATTCTCTTAGAGTTCATACGGAGACTTTTGAACACTCTCACGTAATACAAATGTAATACTTTTGCCAGCAGTGTGCAGCAGAGATGATCCACTGGTTGTTGATTAGGGAACCGCCGCAGAAGTGATAGCCGATATTTAGAGACACCTGCCAGGGTTTTGAGTGGGCTTCACACTGGTAGCCACCCACAATCCTGTCATCCACAGGGGCTGCAGCTGTTGTGTAAAGGAAATACATATTTATCAGAGTTATAGTTATTTATTATTATTTTACCCTTAAACTGCTGTACATACTGCAGATGTGATTTACCTGCAGCACCCAGGAGTGTGAGAACAATCAGGCCAATCATCTCGTGGCTGACTCAAGCCTTCCTAAGACCAGACTGGAGGAGAATAATCCGTCACTCACTGCATTTATACCTAAACTCCTCTGTGTCTTTCCATGCAACCCACCCCCCACATCTCCATCCACCCAATTCTACCCACCCACCCCTGATTCTCTGTCCACTCCTCCTTCTCCATTCCCTACCCTGAAAAATAACCTTATCGTATGTGGTACATTCATCCTTTCAGTTAATAAGTGAGCCATGTCTTACATATTTGTTGCCTTGGGGAGTTTTTTGTGCGATCGGTTTTTAACTGATTATTTTGTAGATTTTCTGCACCTGTCACCTAAATACATGTGTCTATTCTTTTTATGGGAAACACATTTCCAACTCCCCTTTTGGCAGACACCTCAGTGAGTTATTGTAACGAGCCATTTTGTGTTATTACATATTCATTGAATGCAATAGAACAGAATGGATTTATCCGCACTTATTGGTGCTAAAATGCTATTGATTGCTGTCTGACACGGCACAGCACGGAAAAACACCATACAGCATGTTTTAGTTTTCTGCTTCAGAGACAACAGATGATTTCTTTCTCACGTCTCTTGGCTTTTATTCAAGGGCAACCAAAAGTGGACCCGTGGACTTCTTTTTTTTAATCGACTATGTAAACTATGATTCGTTAAATGTCTGCCAATTGAGTCTGTTTGTTAAAAGCAACAAACATTTCTTTCCTATTGGTTCAAGCCTAAAGGAAGGTTGTATAACTGTTTTCACAGTTGTAGCTAGCCAACAATGAGTGACCCATGAGAGAACCATGAGCAGGTGTTAAATGTGTGGAGACCTTGATCCACATTTGTAAATGAGGTGCACAGATGGGGCAGAAGTGGGAAAACATGGAAATAGGAGCATGATAAGAGAGTACATTTGAGTTTACACTTTTACACAGAGTGTGAGGACACAGATGGGTCAACAAGAAGAGGTGGGGGGATTTAGCTGAGCACAGCAGTGGGGTTGGTAGCATATAAATATGAGCTGGGGTGTGTCCAGGTGTTTTCTATTCACCATGGGACTGCTGGCTCTGTTGCTGATGGTTGGAGCTGCTGGTAAAAACACAGAAATACACACAGGCACAAGAATACATACACACATACATACATATTTACAAAAATACATACACAAACACACACGCATGCATGCATGCACGCACACACATACATACAGCCACATATGTGTACTGTAAAGTCAGCGATTTGAAAGTTGTTGTTACCCTTTATCTCTTTCTGTGATTGTGTGACAGCTGCAGTTCCCCGCGAAGATGGCAGAATCATTGGTGGGCAGGACTGTGAACCTCACTCTCGTCCATACATGGCCTCCCTTAACTATGGTTACCACTTCTGCGGTGGGGTTCTCATCAACAGTCAGTGGGTTCTCTCTGTTGCCCACTGTTGGTACAAGTAAGCATGCATTTATGCATTTTCCCCACTTTGAAATACAAGTAAATGCAAAAAAAAACATCTGTAGGTGGAAGACTAATGCTTTTCAATCTACACCATATGTGGGGGACATCTGTTAAATCTATCTAAGTATTGCAGTATTTGCAAAGCAAAGACAATGGAGAGATTAAGACTTATTTAGAATTATTAGTACTAAATTGCTGGAAGCTTTTTCTGCATTCATATTTTTCTAGAATAATTCTCCTCCTCTCTCAGTCCCTATGCCATGCAGATCATGTTGGGAGAACACGACGTGCGAGTGTTTGAGGGTACAGAGCAGCTCATGAAGACTGAAAACATCATCTGGCACCCTAGGTAAGTTAAAGAAAAGAACCATGCCGTCTGGGAATCCTGTTCCCGTTGTACGGTTTCATGATCATCTGATCCGTTCATACAGTGCAGAGACAACTCTAAAGCTTCTTTTATATTTCTCTGTGTGCAGTTACGACTACCAGACTCTGGATTATGACATCATGCTGATCAAGCTCTTCCACCCAGTAGAGGTGACTGCGGCAGTCGCACCCATCCCATTGCCCAGAGAGCTTGCCCAATGGGGGGGCTCCCCTGCTCTGTGTCTGGCTGGGGTAACACGGCCATGAATGGCGAGGGTGGGTTAATAACAGTGATTTAAATTATACAGCTACAGTGCACAAATGTGGCAGATGTTCTGTAAAAATCCCAACCCATTGAAACTGGTGTAGTTAATATGTTGCTTTCAAACTAGTCCCCCGATCCAAGCTGGGCAGGGTAGGGTCAACAAATCCTATGAAAAGCTCCAAAAAAGCTGTGAGTTGATCCTACAAACAAGTATTGCCTGTGCAGCCACTGTGAATTATCCTGAAGATAGTCTCCAACAAAGTGTCTGATTTACTTTTGCCGAAATTACAACAGTGTCCAGCTGTTATAGGGAATTATGTACTGGTATATATTTGAGACCTGTTTTTATAGACCTGTTTGTTAAGATTCCCTGATTAAAGGTTCACCTTGGGCCACATTTCACTAATTTGTATGAAATGTTTGTGGCAGATATATTAGGTCCAGAACTACAAAAAAGCCTCAGGGAGCGATGCCGTAAACCCAACGTGACTTACTTTAAAGCACTGGGATCAACTTCAAATTTTCACGTTGCCATCTAATGGCATTGATGATGAAAAGTTGTTTTATCTGTGAGTTTTCGTTGATGGGTGTGCCTGTGGCACGGCATCAAAAATTGGTAATTCTCCAGGAAACAGTTGCTGTAACTTCACTATACATGCTTAAATCCGAACCAAATTGTACAGATTTGATGACAGTACCGCCTTGAACACATCCATGTACCAAATTTCTCTCAAAGTCAGAGTGCCACCTACTGGCAAAAAGAAAGTGTCATATTTTACGCTGTGATGACGCCTCCTACTCCTAGCAGGTTAGCCACACCTGCCTTAAAACAGTCTCAGAAGAGCCATAAGACATTAATGATGCTATGTTGTGAAGCTTGTGAGTTTTCATGTAACGGCTTGTCCGTGGCGTGGCGGTGAAGTTCGATGCTTTGCCATGAAACAGGAAGTTGTTTCTTCACTGTACATGCACCATGTACCAAATTTCAGTTGTTTGATAAGAGACATGCCCTGAACATGTCTCCAGGCCAATATTCACTCATACTCACAGTGCCACCTACTGGCAACAGGAAGTGACCCTGCAACATAGCAGTATGGTACAATAACATAAAGTTAGAGGTTGTCTCTAACCCCACATAGGGGACGCAGGAAGTGACGTTTAACCTCTCAGTCCAAAATGCATGATAATTCAGAGTCATGTCTCCCAACCTCCGGCCACTTTGCTACAGCTATATATGTCACACCCCAAAGTGCCTCACAGTGCGAGGGCCTGTCAAATGCTGCTTTCAGCTTTAATTGGTTTTATGTTTTCATGGAATGTGTTGACAGTTACAAAATTAAACCTTATCCTATAAAATAATTTATCTGCTTAGTCTCAGAAGCTTATATGTATATCTCTGTTCTACCTTATACAGTCTACTTGCCCACCCGTCTGCAGTGTCTGAACGTGCCCATAGTTCACGACCAGGACTGTGAAAACGCTTATCCTGGCATGATCACACGCAGGATGGTGTGTGCCGGATACATGGATGGGGGCAGAGATGCATGCAATGTGAGTTTTCAGTAAATTTCTCAATCTCTGTATCCATGAAAGAATGAATCTTTGCCTACCATGAATCATTGCCTACCTGCTCACACTCAATCCCTCTGTGTTTGTCAGGGTGACTCCGGCAGCCCTCTGGTGTGTGCTGGAGAGGTCCACGGGCTGGTGTCATGGGGTCAGGGATGTGCCATGCCTAACTACCCCGGAGTCTACGTCAAAGTGTGCGAGTTCCTCTACTGGATTGAGGACACCCTGGCAGCCAACCCCTGAAGAAATTACCCATTTTTCCTTCACTTCACCCCCTCTATTCTCTCCCACTCCCAAACATTTATTTTTCTTTCCTTCTCTAGTGCCCCCCCCCCCATCCAGACTCAACATGCATGTCCCAAGAATATAGAAAACAAAAATAAAACCAACACAGGATATCTTCATTTTTCATTTGTCTGCTCATTTTCATATCCACAATGGGTGAAAGAAAAAACACCAAATGAAACTACTTGGAAGCTATGTATATGTTAGTTACAGGTTTATTTGTTTGATTTTAATACCATATAAGACTGTCTGATGGAGTTAGATAACTTCTTTATAAGAACAAGCTTGTGTGTGTTAAATGAAAAGGTTGCTTATCTCTATTGTTTCATAAATTCACCCCAAAGATGTGATTGCCCCTCTTCATTTGTCCATAATTATATTTTCAAATATCAAGCCTTTCATTCATTTCTATTATTTCTTGGAGGCTCAAAAAAGGCTTAAATGATAATGATGGTGTGCAAGACTATTGCACTAGACTACTAGACTTGGGAATCAGTACTGAAGCTGCTGTGGAGAAAATGGCAGCATAATTATTGAACAGTAGGAGGCGTCAGTGAGCAATTTTCCTGTCAGTCCCGCCCACTCACCTCAACTCAGCAGTGCAGCTGACACACGGTCATTTACAGTTAGCCATGACAACAAAAACTATTTTTACATCGAGGGCTGATTTCTGGAATGAAGATATTTTAGTCACACAGGTATTTCTCACTTCATTTAAAGAGTCTTTAGATGACATTTTTTTCCCCCTGTCAGGACGACATTGTTCTTGTCATCTCTGCCAGGCCATATTTTTCTTTTCTCCTCTCCTCCCTCTCTTTATATCTTCGTCTCTGTCTGACTGGGCTGGAAGGTCCGAGCCATGCTGCTCCTACACACAAACACAAGAAGAGGTCATACTAAAATACACAATTCACAAGAAAAGTGTAAAGGTCTAAGGAAATATAAGATACTTAATCATGTTCCCTGACCTCTGAGAGAACTCTGTAAGATACTTTTAATAAAAAAAAAATGATGTTTTGATAAATGCATGAGACTAGTATTAGATTGTGAGTTACCAATGAAGTTTTGAGTGGTAACTTTACAGGAGTTGAGCAGAATTAAGACTAAAGGCTGAATCCTAAGCTACATAAGTAGCTCTCAAAGTAGAGTGAGCCAGTGCAGGGTGGGCATGATCAGAGGGGTAAGAACTGGAGTGAATCCAATGATGAATATACTTTTTACACAGCAAACACTTTGACCTGTCAACAAAGGGGTCACTAATAACAGTATTAATTGCTGCATCACACTGCAATAACTGCTGGAAGTGAGCCATCGTTAACATTACCATCCACTTTTCTGTAATGACACGTCTGCTATGATTTGGGAACCCCAGGCTTCTTAACATGTTTTAGGATATGATCCTCTGCATGGTGTAGAACAATCTCACTTTTATTTAGTTTCATCAATGTATGTGTACAGTTCAGAATACAAGCTTACAACATGCAACTACTTACTGTTGCCATCCTTCTGAGAGGAAGAAGAAAACATTGCTTCTGTGAGGAATTCAGCACTGTTTAAAACATAAATTGGAAATATAGGTGAATTAGCTACTGAGTAAGAACATGTGAGTCAGCGTTCCACTATACGGCTGTGACATCATAGCCTTTTTTCTGATTATCATTAACACTGCATGCATCCAGGGTCTGGTGAAAAAGACTTGTTTATTGTAGTAAGTCTAAATGGAGACAGCTGTCGTTCACCTGTGGGAGAGTTGGTATGACGGAGGCAGCCCACCAGAGTTCTCCTCCTCACTGCTATATGACTCCTCTCCCTGACACCTAAATTGAAAGGGCACACCATATTTTTATATTCCCCATGTTATGTGTTCTTCTAAAATAACTGTTAATGTATGGACCTTGTCCCATGTACAGTGGGTACGGAAAGTATTCAGACCCCTTTAAATTTTTCACTCTTTGTTTCATTGCAGCCATTTTCCAAAAATCAAAAAAGTTCATTTTATTTCTCAGTAATGTACACTCAGCACCCCATCTTGACAGAAAAAAACAGAAATGTAGAAATTTTTGCAAATTTATTAAAAAAGAAAAACTCAAATATCACATGGTCATAAGTATTCAGACCCTTTGCTCAGTATTTAGTAGAAGCACCCTTTTGATCTAATACAGCCATGAGTCGTTTTGGGAAAGATGCAACAAGTTTTTCACATCTGGATTTGGGTATCCTCTGCCATTCCTCCTTGCAGATCCTCTCCAGTTCTGTCAGGTTGGATGGTAAACGTTGGTGGACAGCCATTTTCAGGTCTCTCCAGAGATGCTCAATTGGGTTTAAGTCAGGGCTCTGGCTGGGCCATTCAAGAACAGCCACGGAGTTGTTGTGAAGCCACTCCTTCGTTATTTTAGCGGTGCGCTTAGGGTCATTGTCTTGTTGGAAGGTAAACCTTCGGCCCAGTCTGAGGTCCAGAGCACTCTGGAAAAGGTTTTCGGCCAGGATATCCCTGTACTTGGCCGCATTCATCTTTCCCTCGATTGCAACCAGTCGTCCTGTCCCTGCAGCTGAAAAACACCCCCACAGCATGATGCTGCCACCACCATGCTTCACTGTTGAGACTGTATTGGACAGGTGATGAGCAGTGCCTGGTGTTCTCCACACATACCGCTTAGAATTAAGGCCAAAAAGTTCTATCTTGGTCTCATCAGACCAGAGGATCTTATTTATCACCATCTTGGAGTCCTTCAGGTGTTTTTTAGCAAACTCCATGCGGGCTTTCATGCGTCTTGCACTGAGGAGAGGCTTCCGTCGGGCCGTTCTGCCATAAAGCCCCGACTGGTGGATTGCTGCAGTGATGGTTGACTTACTACAACTTTCTCCCATCTCCCGACTGCATCTCTGGAGCTCAGCCACAGTGACCTTTGGGTTCTTCTTTACCTCTCTCACCAAGGCTCTTCTCCCCCGATAGCTCAGTTTGGCCGGACGGCCAGCTCTAGGAAGGGTTCTGGTCGTCCCAAACGTCTTCCATTTGAGGATTATGGAGGCCACTGTGCTCTTAGGAACCTTAAGTGCAGCAGAATGTTTTTGTAACCTTGGCCAGATCTGTGCCTTGCCACAATTCTGTCTCTGAGCTCTTCAGGCAGTTCCTTTGACCTCATGATACTCATTTGCTCTGACATGCACTGTGAGCTGTAAGGTCTTATATAGACAGGTGTGTGGCTTTCCTAATCAAGTCCAATCAGTATAATCAAACACAGCTGGACTCAAATGAAGGTGTAGAACCATCTCAAGGATGATCAGAAGAAATAGACAGCACCTGAGTTAAATATGAGTGTCACGGCAAAGGGTCTGAATACTTATGACCATGTGATATTTGAGTTTTTCTTTTTTAATAAATTTGCAAAAATTTCTACATTTCTGTTTTTTTCTGTCAAGATGGGGTGCTGAGTGTACATTACTGAGAAATAAAATGAACTTTTTGATTTTTGGAAAATGGCTGCAATGAAACAAGAGTGAAAATTTAAAGGGGTCTGAATACTTTCCGTACCCACTGTATATATGTCACTAGCACAATACAACAAATAGAGAACAAATTAGGGATTACCCCTTTAATCAGCTAGCACAGAGAATAATTAATATATAAATACAAATATTTGTGTCTATTTGCAGTAGCTGTTAACAATAATATGAATCCTGACCTTAACAGTTAAATGTCTGATTATTAGAAGGGTTAGGTTTTTATTGTACAGACAAATACATCAATAAACAGAGGTGCATAGAAACATATACATTACAAAATTAACCAAAAAGACATAACCACCACAAAACAAACTGCACAACCAGTGCAGTTATTTCATATGAAATGCTGATCTTTGCATTGTTGATCCAGATATTTAAAGTCATTTTGTGTGTTCCCAGAATTATGTTGAACACTTGTTACGGTTTCAGTATTTTCTTAGTTTCCTTTTGAACTTATTTTATCAGTAGAGTATAAATAAAGCTGCAATATCAAGTTCCTTATCTCAGTAAAAAGAAGTCACTCTGTAGAGCATTAGCAGCATGCTCAAATTAGACTTCTGAAGGTTTCTAGTATACATGTAGACAACAACTGCATTTTCCCCTTTACCTTTAAACAGTGTCCCACCTGTTTGTGTGTTGTTTGTGTCTTCTATGTGCTTCATTACCACTGTGAGCCTGCTGAAGAAGAAAAAAGGCCACAATGATTGTGCAGGCGTCACCTACTACAGATGTTCACACTATAACTGGAGAGTCTCTGCAATACTGACCATGAAATAACTTAAGTGTCTGTGGAGGGTCACACCAACAATATGCAAATTGCTTGAGTGTTGGTGGCAACTTACCAAGTGAGAGTGTTTAGGTGGTGTCCTTGTTTCTGATGTCTGTGATTGGCTGGAGATAGATGGACATGGTGGGGCTGTGCTGTTTTTAGGGGGCAGAGGTGGAGCGCTGATGTGGGAGCTGGGAACCTGGTAATCCAAACTTGAGAACTGTTGAGAGAGACTGTAGGCAGTCAGTGGGGATTTTGTCTTCTTCATTGGCAAACAACAAAAAAGTTACTATGAGCATGAGGATGCACGATGCAAATGAGGAGCCCAGAATTTAAGATAAATTTCCAGCTAAATCACTGAACTACAAGCATTTGATGACTGAATTAGTTGCACTTCGTGGTGCTTTAATGCTGGGTTCCATTTACCTCAGAATTTCAGAGCTGAGAATGACGTCACACCGAGTTGACCCCATTCCAGTACAACAACAGATTTAAGTCAGAAAACCAAGACTGACCCTCTAGCCATTGTTAGTGTACCAGTTGATGACAACGCATTAAACATTATTTTGCGCATACAAACACCGAAGCAACATGTCCACAGATATAAACTGGACAGTACTGTGTGTACGACTCTTTTAATGAGACACAAATAAGACAGAAGTGCGATAAACAGTTGATTACTAAAGCTTTCACTACTGTTGGAGCTTGGAGTAACATT